TGATAGGGATCTTCTTCACTACTCAACTTATGGTGAGCCCGCTACAATTCTAGTGGGTGTTTGGGTCTAGTTCATTTTATGTATATATTGTCATAGAAGCTCCATGTACACTGTGGGTTATGTACTTAAAGTTTTAAGTTTTGTCATGTATCTATGTTCACAGTATTTACAGATATTTATAAAGCTATGTACCCATCGCGAGGAGAATTTTAGGCCATTGAGTCAAATGTATTCAATATGAAAGTCAAGATCTAATTATGTTATGGTAAATCATGCATGAGTAATGATGAGAGATTAATGTAAATCAGGCTTGCTCGATTGGGTTTACTCGGTTGAGCGTCGGTCGCGCTCCTCGAGTTCGGGGAGTGACACACACCCATTGCAGGTGCGATCACACCAGAAGCAACAGAGCTTCAGCAATGCTTAAGGTCCAAAATTGATCCGGATTCAATCCGAATCACACCCGGAACCCTCGGGACCCTGTACGAATATACCAACAAGTTCCAAAATACAAAACAGGCCTACTCGAGGCCAAAAATCAAATCAAACAACATCGATTCTACGAATCGTAACCCAATTCAAGCCTATGAAAGTATGAACTTCTGAATTCCAAAACTAATGCCGATTCATACCAAAACAACTCTGATTGACGTCAAACTTTGCACACAAGTCATAAATGACATGATGGACCTGTTCCAACTTCCGAATTCGGAATCCGACCCCGATATCAATAAAGTCAACTCCCGGTCAAACTTTCTGAATCTTCCAAACCTTCAACTTTCTAATTTTCGCCAATTCACACCGAAACGACCTACAGACCTCCAAATCAACATCCGGACACGCTCCTAAGTCCAAAATCGTCATACAGAGCTATTGGAACCATCAAAACTCTATTGGGGAGTTGCCTACATGAAAGTAAAATTACGGTCAACTCTTTTAACTTAAACCTTCAACTTAGGGACTATATGTCCCATTTCACTTCGAAACTCACCCGAAACCAAAATCAAACATCCCGGCAAATCACATAACCATAATACAACATAGAGGAAGAAATAAATAGGGGATCGAAGCTAAAATACTCAAAATGACCGGCTGGATCATTATAGATACTTATTTGACTAAATCAAGGAGAGATTATTTCAACAGCCTTACATAGATATGATACCAAATCTACAAGGATTCTTTCTACAAGGGCTTTCTCGAGTAGGTGTACGTAGGTGAAGAAGACATTTGACTCTTTTATTATTTAACAATAAGCAATAAAATAATAAGAGTGGTGTAGGACTATCCAGAGAGGTTTTTAATACGGCAAAAGCGTAGTGCATGCTTTGCTTACTTATTCTATTGCCTTATTGCCAAATGATACCAAAATTCAACACTCTACCCTCCCCACACCATCCTCCCTTTTCTGTGTACTCTGGCTCAATTATTTATTCACAAACCTAGATTAAATATTTCAATAGATAAATACAAAGTGTAAGTATATTTATTGATACTGTTGTGACAATGAAGATGAACTATTTATATATGCTAAAATGGAAAAAAAAAAGTCACTCTTCTAATCCTTCAAGCTACCAATAAATGAACTATGTACCATTTGATCCCTCTATTATTCAAAAAAATTGATTGTTTTAATGTTATTCTGCATTCATTATACTCTTTTCCTAAAATTCCTCCATCTTCCATCTGTCTTGACGAGTAATTAAAATTAATTTAATCATCTTTCATATTACTAGAATGTTTAATTTTTATTTTAGTGGACTTACATATTAATATACTAGAAGGATGATGTCCATGCAGTGCACGGGCCCGACATATTAGGTGTTTAATTATTTATTCAATTTGACGGGGACAAAAAATAGAGAGCCTTGTATTGAGATAAACAAAAATAACCATAACCAAAGAGTGCTCTATACGACATGGGTTGTAACGACTCGATCGGTCGTTTTGAACATTTGCACTTCGCTCGATGGTTTGAGTGCATAGTAGCTCTGTATGATGTATTATGACTTGTGTGTATCATCGGTTTCGATTTTCGGGTGATCTGGAATTAGTTTGGAAGAATAAATTTCATGTTTGAATTTTTAAGTTGGAAGAGTTGACCAAGTTTGACTTTTGTGTATTTGACCCTGGATCGAAGTTTTTTATGGTTCCGTTAGGTCGGAATGGTGATTTTGGACCTGGGCGTATGCCCGGATTTGCATTCGGATATTTCTAAAAGGTCTCGGCAGTATTTGACGAAAGTTAGAAATTTGAAGGTTTGGAATGTTCTTAAGTTTTACCGAGAATTGACTTTGGTGATATCGGGTTCGAATTATTATTCCGGAATTTGGAATAGCTTCGTTATGTCATTTGGGACTTATGTATAAAATTTGAGGTCATTCCGAGTTGATTTGATATGGTTCGGCACGAGTTTTGGAAGTTGAAAATTCAAAAAATTATTAAGTTCGATTTGAGGTGCGATTCGTGGTTTTGGACGGGGTCCTGAGGGGCTCGGGTGAGTGTCTGATAGGTTAGGGTTGCGTTGCGCTCATTTTTTTTTTATATTTCGACGTCGTTTCTTCAAGCATAAATGGTACCACATTCCAATTTCTGTTTTGATTGAAGCATTAGATCCGTATCATAATTACGGAACCATAACAAAAAGAATCGTCAAATTTGGACATCGTATGAGGAGTTTATGGTCATTTTACTAAGAATTGGGTTGCCAGATGTTTCAGATTAATTACGCAATTGTCATTGTATTCGTATTTAAAAATATGCACTATTTTCAAATATTGAATCCAACATATCTCCTTTATTATAAGGTCAAATGGAATGATTCAAAAGCCTAAATTGACTGAAATTTCACGAGTAATCCATTGGAGGTATCAAAAGCGAGTTTCGGGATCGTTTGACACAAGAAACGAGGCAGAACAGCTGGGAAGAAGCATATAAAATCGAGGGTTTGTTCATTTGGTCATATTTTGAGTTGGGGAACTCGGATTTGGATGATTGTGGAGGCGATTTTCACCACATGGATTGGGTAAGTGTTCTATACTCGATTTTGATTATATTTTATGAATCCATCTTCGTTTTTGGTATTTAATTGATGATTTCAAATTGAGATTTGAGGGTTTTTGTCTAAAATTTCATAAAGTGAATGTTTGAGTTTTTAACATCGATTCGGAGTCGGATTTGAGTGAAATTAGTATGGTTGGACTTGTAATTGAATATGTTGTCAGATTTGGTGAGTTTCGTCGGATCCCTAGGTGCAGGTACGAGTTTGACTTTTTAGTTGACTTTGGGCTTTTGATTAAAGATTCCATCTTTATCGATTGAGTTTGTTTCCTTTGCTATTATTTGACGTTCTTGAGTTGCTTTTGTCTAGTTTCGAGCCGTTCGGAGGTCAGTACGCGCGAGATGGCATTTCTAGAGTATTGTTTGGCTAGCTCGGTATTGGATTCGGCTTGTTCGAGGTAACACTTCTAAACTTGGTGCTGAGGGTATGAATCCCTAAACATACGTGTTATGTGTCTGGTGTTGAGGTGACGTACATGCTAGGTGACGGGTGTGTGGGCGTACACCGTGTGAATTATGACTCGGTTGACTCTGTGATATTGTGTAGTTACCTAATCTTGTTTTTATCCATGAAATATCTACGTTTTAGACAAATTGAGCTGTGAATCATGTTAAAAATAATGTTTAGGCTATATTCTTATTCTATTGCGACCTATTGAGGTCGTCTCTGTTCTCCTTTGTTATCACATCATGTTATCATTATTTGGGCTGATTGGCATGATATTTGTGAGCCCGAGGGGCTGGAGAGTTTGATGATTGAGTTGGGGCCTGAGAGCCGTGTTGGGAGAGATATTTGTGGATCGAGCTGCATGCCGCAGCAGGCCATATTGGCTTTATATATATTATTATTATGTGGATCAGGTTGCACGCCGCAGCAGGCCTTATAGACTTTATTATTGTTGATGGTATCGGGCTGCACGCCGCAGTAGGTTTTATTGATTCATGATGGGATCGGGCTGCACGCCGTAGCATGCCATGTTGGCTTATATTAGTGCTTGTGTAGGATCCGCCCTTACAGAGTCTGACATACCAGCGGTGAGCGCAGGTACCGTACAATGCTAAGTGACTGAGTGTGCTGAGTGATTGAGCGTGATGAGTGGGAGTGCGAGATAGTGAGATTGAGTACTCTAAGAGTGTGAGTACATGAGTTCATCACTGTGATTCATTGCATTTGATATGCATACTTGACATACATGCATAGAGATGCATTTCCTCATGCTACACGGTTTTGTGACATTCATGATTTCACATGCACATTGACATGTAGGCATAGAGATGTACTTTTTTCATACTGTCTGAGAATGAAATATCTTATCTGTTGTTGAAAATTTCTGGGAAAAATCATAGTTTTCTGATTTAATCATATTTTGGTGATTTCGGTGAAAGATTTGGGTTTTACTGTTATACTTGAAAAGCATGCCTATTTTTTCGTAACTGTGAACGAGCTGAGCATCATATCTTTTAGTTATTACTTGTGCTGCTTTTATTATATTGTTACGAGTTGTTCTTCGCTATTGGTGTTGGATTCTGACCGTTGTCCAAACTCCTTATTGAGTACATGGGACCGGTTGTACTCATACTACACTTCTGCACCTTGCGTGCAGAATTTGGAGTTGATGTTGCTGCGAGTGGCGGGAGCTGGCATTGAAGATGCACCTGTGTTCCGGTTATAGCTGCCTCTTGTTCTTGGTAGCTTTAGATTTATAAATCTTCTTATGTACGTTTCAAACAGATGACGTATTTATTTCGTACCAGCTTTGTGAACTCTAAATCGTAGAAACTCATGATTTGTACTACCAATCCGTGAAAAATTGTATAAAATTCAGTTATTTCGTTTTTGACTCTTATCATTATCATTATATTATGGTTTATTGTTAATTGGCTTACCTAACGGGTTGGGTTAGGTGTCATCGCGACTAGTTGAATTTTGGGTCGTGACATGGGTACAATGGCTGAATTCTTATATTATTTCCCAAAAATTCTTAAAGACATCACGTGCCTTCCGAAAACCAATCAAGAGCCTCAATTACTGCATATTTTCAGCTCACCTCTCGCAATATAACCATCAAACAATTGCTCAAATTGATCATTATTAAGTTCCCTAGTCCTGCAAGTTAGTACTGCATCCCTGCTCGACCATGTAAGATCCGAACCACTTTCTTTCCTTTTCTTGACAGAAAGCTTCGCCTGCTTCAACACATGATTTAGATGGAATTAAAACTTGACAACTAATACTTTCAAGTTTGAAGTGAACTTCCTATAAAATAGTGAATAGTTCGATATCAACATTGAGAAATATGTAAACAGATAAAAAAACCTTGTAGACCACCACAGTTGATGCAACCTGAGCAGAGATCCAACTATCTCTTTTTCAATTGTTGAGTGTCTATGACTTGAGTTATTCTTATCTCACATAAAGCATAATTTGTTGAAAGGGATGAAAGAAAAGCAACAAATAAAAAAGATCAAGTTATTTTCTCCCTAGTGACTAGGGTAACAATTGATCACATAAAAGTAACTGCAATATGATTTACAGATCTCCTATTGTTCATCTTGTACTTGAAACAATCCAACACCTTAGCAAATAGTAGTAGCTAAAGATTTTATAAGTTTGTAATGCTTCACAATTGCTCTCCAATCTTCTAGGCGCAATTCTAGCAATTTTCAGTAAGGACGCCTCAATGTAGTAGCACTTTACTTCTTGAATTTAAATCACACTTTTCATCTCTAATTGCAAAAAAGGATTATTTATAAGAACAAAACTTGTATTATGCTTTCATTTCTGCATAAAAAGTCAAGACTTAAACACCTCTAAAGCGCACATATAAGACAAATAAAAAAGGCAAACTTGATTTTTAATAGGACCAACAATGGTACCGAATTGAATGTAAACAGCAAAGGCAGGCTTCATCATCAAGATCCATGGCATAGAGATGTTGAACGTTCATGAAGATTTAGCAAATAATGAAAAAATTATATATAGCCAAATACAAGGAGCTTTTCTAAGAACAAAGGGTACCAAGAATATAATTGAAATACCTGAACTGTTTTATACACCTGCTGCACATCTAGATACCTTTCTTCTGCAAATTTGTTTTAGTCGATCAGTCGAACAACTATCATGAGCCAGTACCCAACAGAAGCATGCCACTTCATATGGCATAATGGATCCCGCGATGATCTTTCAAGGTCAAGAGGAAAAATTATCAGCTGCTAAGACCATAAATTTGCAGCAAAATTACACTGAAAAAGTACCTTTTTTGCTCAGTCAAATCTAAATAATCGCAAGTAACATCTTGTCTTCATACACATTTCTTCTGACCTAGATATCAATGAAAAGAAAAGAAAATCAATGAAATTAATTATCTATATCTTAGTAGTTAAATAGACACTACATACAAAGACGAATGAAAGCTTTCTCCTAATAATGAACCTGACAAAAAGATATTGATAATTGTAGCACGATCAAGATGTAGAGGTAGAGCACCATAAAAGAATAATAATATTCATTCTCTTCTTCTGAAAAAGCAAATGTAAATGTTATGTATCAATGAATTGTATGGAACCTAAGCAAGGATTGATTACCATGTTTGAAGGAATCCATAGTTGAAATTGTAATATATTTCAAATCAAGAACAAAGATGAGTTCATTAAGGGGAATAAACTATCAGCAGATAAAGATAGTATAATTAATTAAAGAAATTATGGTTTAAATAATGTTTAATTTACTTATCATGTGAACAAAAAGCAGTTCACCTTAGGTCTTTGATCACTCATCTAACTACATAAAAGTCTAAACAATTGAAATTCAAAGGGATTCACACAGAGATACATGAGTATATTGTTTATAATATTTAGTATAACATTAGCAACTACTATATTTTTTACTGCCATACCTATAGTTGCCAAAACATCTCTTAAATGTCCTATCATTATGTCATCATAAGTCCCGGGGTTGCAAAATGATAGATGTTAATGTTATATATTACCTATGAAAAAAAGTTGGAATAAAAAATAATTGAATTGTTTTTTCCCTTTCGTATAACATCTCCGCTGGATCGATGTTGTTCCCTTTCATTACACATTTTTTCCAGATGGAAATCCAACGTGCTTAGTACTATATTGTTATTTGAGCACCTAAGCTGAAAATTTGCATAGAAGCATTTGAACAAATAGCCATATGCATATACAGTATTCATCAACTTTGTTTTTGAAAAAAGAGGAAACAATCTTATACATTGAAGTAAAAAAGAAAAATAAAGCACAAATGTAAAAAATAACTTTATAGGCTAGTGAAGATTATAACTCAATAGTCTACAAAAAAAAAAATATTAGAGTCGAAGATTTACATGCTCACCAAGAAAGAATAGAAGAACATGGCAGAACTCATAAATATTCTTCGTCCTCCGTTTTCTGGCTTTGTTATTGTATTTCGCTGATTGGGATGAATGTAAGTTTTGGAGTGTGATCCTCGATGTTTTACATGTACACAACAAAACATGAGGATAATTAAACAAAAGTTGAATACCATAAATAAAAATAGATAACAAAATAGAAAAGGACAAAGGAAAATACCAAAGATAAATTAATACTCACCAGAACAAAATAAATTCAACTAAGGAGATCACTTAAAGGAGAAATAGATCAAGTTAGAAAACATACTAATTGATGAGTAAAAGAGAAAGGCAGAGGAAAATGAAAACAAGCAAAAGTGAAGATAATTCTAGATTTAGAGGTGTTCAATTACATGCTAGTAATAGCTTCAATTACATGCTCCCTTCTTTCGGCAAGAAATGGGTTGTAATATTAGGAGATTAGACCGAGGAACTCAGGAGGACGACTTTAGTGGAGGATCAAAAACTGAGCAATAAACTAAAGTAATAGTATTCTATATCTAAAGTGTGTACACGTGTATGCTGAAGGATAAGTCTAATACATGTGTCCATGGGAGAATTGCAGCATAATTCAATGACCAGTCAGATAGGTTTAACAGCGTCAAAATGACCAATCAAATAGGTCCAACAATGCAGTACAATTTTTATTACCTTTTGTACAATTAGTTAGAGTCAATTTCTCGTATGGTCACTGGACTAATATAATTTGTCTATGAAAGTCACTTTACTTTATTTTTTAACTACAAAATCATTATACTTTGCACATTATAACTCAAAAGTCACTCAACACTTTTAGGGTTTTATTAAATATTATTTTTCATATTTCTTTTCAGCCCAACCATTTAAAAAATCAAAAAAATCCATTTAAATCATGACTCGTCGTTCCATGACCCGACCCATTTTCTCTTATTTATGTTATAAAAAACGTAAATGTTACTTTGTTGTAGTGTATTATGTTGCCTCTCAGTATAGTTATACTGAATGTATACATTGGTTTCAAAGTATTAAATAAAGAATAAGGAATTAATCTTAACAAACTAGAGGAGCTAAATTTGAAAGTAAAACAAGAAAATTAGCAGCGTTGAAGTGAAAGAAAATATAAAGGAGGAAGGAAAAATAAAAAAAGTATTAATGCTTGAAATTTTGACTGAGAAATATTAATATAAGAGTAAATTAAAAGATAATATCCTCGATGTTTTAGAACAAGAACGTGAATTGCTTATAGTAAAGATAATGTTACTAGACGACCATTTCTAGTTGATTTGATTTAATACTTTGCTTAAACCAGTATGTTGAAAACCAAGATAATTAACAATAAAATAATATTTACGTTTTTTGTAACCAAAATAAGAGAAAGTGGGTCGGGTCAAAGAGCGGGTTGAGTCACGGTTTAAATAGGTGCTTTTTTTTTTATTGTTTAAATAATTGAGTTAAAAAAATATGAAAAATAATATTTAATATGACCGAAATATGTTGAGTGACTTTTGAGTTATAATATGTAAAGTATGATGACTTTCCGGTTACAAAACAAAGTAAAATGACTTTCATAAATAATTTTTATTAGTTCAATGAGGACTCCAATTAGTTAAGGCAGTGTTCGTACACCTTGTACACTTATATATAGTAGTAAAAAATTGTACATGGGTTTAGTATCAATTGATCGTTTTAGTGATCTAAATATAGTATTATGTATATAGGCCACAGAAATATTATTTAGTAAGGTATGAGCTTTATATGTGTAGAAACTCGTTAACTTTTCAGTTACTATTATTGATCGACCAATAATTGAAACGTTACCTCTTCTGAAGAGTTACGCATGTTCTCTTTTATATAATGGTTCAGGTCTCCCTATAAGTTAGATAACGTTTTCTTTTCTTCTTTTCCCATCTGAGAGAAGAACGCTTGAAGGAGTTCTCAAAGGCTTAGAAGTTTCCTTAATTGGGAATCAAGAACCATATCTCAACAATCCCTCTTTAATGGATCAAGGTTAGTACTGATAGATGTCTACTAATTTACTAGAGATCGAATGTCGATTGATTTCATTTTTCCATTATAGAACATTACTCGTTTCTTGTGATTGATAACTTATTCTCTTTATCGAACATATGTGGATGCGACAGGTATACTTACAGAAAATTCTCAGCAACATGTATGTAATTAGATTCCAAGATGCTCAGCCGCCAACACTTATCTTCTGCCATTATTCATTCATTTGGCCACAATTTACCCTAAATATGAGAAGTGCTGGACTCTCTTGGATTTTTTGGGCCTTTCCCTTTACGTGGATTAAAAGGTGACATTTGGAACTAGCTCACTTTTCCCTATAGCCCACTAATATCAAGACATATAAATATGATTTATTTTAGGTTTGAAATTCTCACGATCCAAATCTCAAATGTCGAGATGGCGCCTATCGCAATACTAGGCAAGCCGACAACCATAATAAATCACGCATTCTTTAAGTTTGAAAACATAATAAAATAAACTTAAGAGTAAAATCTCATAAATACTAATACGAAAAAACTGCGACTCAAAACAATATTCCCCCAAAATTCGAGTGTCAATGAGTACATGAGCATCTAAATAATAACATAGTCTGACTGCTAAATACACTGTCTAGAAAGATAGAACAGTACAAGTACATGAAAAGAACGAGAGTCAAGGTCTGCAGACGCCAAGGCGACTACCTCGATTGTCTCCGACAGATAAAGCTCCAAAATCTAGCAGTCGCCGTACCAGGGAGTACCTGGATCTGCACACGAAGTGCAGAGTGTAGTATGAGTACAACCGACCCAATGTACTGAATAAGTAACGAGACTAACCTTGGATTGAAAGCAGTGACGAGCACAACAGGTACAATCCAAATACAGAATTTAACAGTACAGAAATATAGACATGCTTTCAAGTTCAACATTTAAGCGTAAAACAAATATAATATGCCAAATGTGACTGAAATGAGGAATGATACATCTCTATATCTATATGTCAATTATGCATGCCAACTGTATACCAATGTTCATGATTTGGAGTTGGCAGCCATTGTTCATGCATCGATGATTTGGAGGCATTATCTCTACGGTATGTCTTGTGAGGTATTTACGGATCATCGGAGTCTCCAGCACTTGTTCAAACAAAGGGATCTAAATTTGAGGCAGCGGAGATGGTTGGAGCTGCTAAAGGACTATGATATTGCCATTTTGTATCATCCCGGGAAGGCCAATATGGTGGCCGATGCCTTGAGTAAAAAGGCGATGAGTATGGGTAGTCTTGTATTTATTCCTGTTGGTGAGAGACCGCTTGCATCTGATGTTCAGGCCTTGGTCTATCAGTTCGTGAAACTAGATGTTTCGAAGCCCAGTCGGGTTCTAGCTTGTGTGGTTTCTCGGTCTTCCTTATATGATCGTATCAGAGAGCGTCAGTATGATGATCCTCATTTGCTTGTCCTCAAGGACACAGTTCAGCACATTAATGCCAAGGAGGTTACTATTAGGGATGATAGGGTGTTACAGATGCAGGGTCGGATTTGTGTGCCCAATGTGGATAGGCTACGTGAGTTGATTCTTGAGAAGGCCCATAGTTTGCGGTATTTCATTCATCCGGGTACCGCAAATATATATCAGGACTTGAGGCATCATTATTGGTGGAGGAGGATGAAGAAATACATAGTGGGGTTTGTAGCTTGGTGCCTAAATTGTCAGCATGTGAAATACGAGCATCAGAGACCGGGCGGATTGCTTCAGAGGCTTGATATTCCGGAGTGGAAATGGGAGTGTATCACCATGGACTTCGTAGTTGGGCTCCCACGGACTTCGAGGAAGTTTGATGCTATTTGGGTGATTGTGGATCGGTTGACCAAGTCTGCGCATTTCATTCCAGTTAGACTACTTATTCTTCAGAGCAGTTGGTTGAGATCTACATCTGCGAGATTGTTTGCCTTCACGGTGTGTCGGTGTCCGTTATTTCAGATCGGGGCACGCAGTTTACATCGCAGTTTTGGAGAGCATTGTAGCAAGAGTTAGGCACATGAGTTGAGTTGAGTACAACATTTCACCCTCAGATGGACCGACAGGACGAGCGCACTATTCAGATATTGGAGGATATGCTACGCACTTGTGTCATAAATTTCAGGGATTCTTGGGATCAGTTGCTGTCGCTTGTCACGTTTGCCTACAACAACACCTACCAATCGAGCATTCAGATGGCTTTGTATGAGACTTTGTATGGGATACGGTGTCGGTCTCCAGTGGGTTGGTTTGAGCTGGGTGAGGCTAGGCTATTGGGTACTGACTTGGTTCAAGATGCTTTGGACAAGGTTAAGGTTATTCAGGATCGGCTTCGCACGATGCAGTTTAGATAGAAGAGCTATGCCAATCAGGAGATTTGTGATGTTGCTTACATGGTGGGAGAGAAGGTACTGCTCAGAGTTTCACCCATGAAGGATGTTATGAGGTTCGGAAAGAAGGGCAAGTTGAGCCCTCGGTATATTGGCCCGTTTGAGGTGCTTGAGAGGATTAGGCAGGTGGCTTACAGGCTTGCATTTTTGCCTAGTCTATCGAGTGTTCATCCACTATTCCATGTATAAATGCTCCGGAATTATGTCAGTGATCCGTCTCATATTTTGGACTTTAGCACGGTTCAGTTAGATAGTGATTTAACTGATGATGTGGAGTCGATGGCCATTTTGGATCGGCAGGTACGAAAGTTGAGGTCAAAGAACATAGCTTCAGTAAAGATGCAATGAAGAGGTCAGCCAGTCGAGAAGGCTACTTAGAAGACCGAGCGGGAGATGTGGAGAAAATATCCATGCCTATTTGAGACTTCATGTATGATTCTAGACCCGTTCGAGGACGAACGTTTGTTTAAGGGGGAGGATGTAACGACCCGGCCGGTCGTTTTGAGTGTTGTAGCCCCGTTCCCCCATTTACTGCTTATTCTATGCTCAATTGCTGTTATGTGACTTGTCGGGGTAGTTGGTTTGGTTCCGGGGATGTTTTGGAATGAATAGGGACACTTAGTCCCGATTGGAAGCCAAAGCTGAAAGAGTTGACCGGATGTTGACTTGCATGTTAATGGCTTCAGAATAGAATTTTGATGGTTCCAATAGCTCTGTATGGTAATTTTGGACTTAGGAGTGTGTTCAGATATTGATTTGGAAGTCTAAAGATAATTTTGGATTGAATTGGCAAAAATTGAAAAAATAGAAGTTTGGAGAATTGAGAAGTTTGACCGAGAATTGACTTTGTGGTTATCGGGCTTGGATTTTGGTTTCGAAAATTAGAATAGGTCCTTTGTGCCATTTATGACTTGTGTCAAAAATTTAAGGTCAATCGGAATTGATTTGATAGGTTTCGGCATCGAATGTAGAAGTTAGAAGTTCATAAGTTTATTAGGCTTGAATTGATGCGTGATTTGTGGTTTTAGCATTGTTTGATGTGATTTGACACTTCGAGCAAGTTCATACGATATTTTAGGAC